GAGATGCCACCTAACAACAAAGATAATGAACTAGAGCACTTTAGGGTTTGAGTCAGCCTTTAATATCTAAAGGTTTAAAATCATCAGAGTTGGTGCCACTTTATAGCCTTTACCATCCTATTAACCATGAAAGAGAGGGAATGAAAACCACCATTAAGAACCAAGTGGTTCTCAGTGACAAGCTTGTTGGGTGACGTCAAACACGACTCCCAGCACCCCGATGAACAACAGGTCCGAGCCCTGGCCTATCCTGTGTCTTCCTCTTCTTCTTTGACTCACTTGAGCCCATTGCTGCTGTATCTGTGTCAATCCATTGTGTGTGTGTGTGTGTGTGTGTGTGTGTGAGTTTGTCTTTTTTCTATTAACCATCTACCTTTCCAAGCATTAAATCCCTTTCCAAGGACTAGCCTCCTAGCAACATGCCCAAAGTATGTGAGATGAAGTGACAAATATTACTGTTGTTGTTTTTGTTGATAGGTACTGTCTAGCTGAGTATGACTTACATTAACACCATGGACAACAGATCTGAACTCTGCCCTATTGTGTGCCATTCTTGTCCTCTCTGACCCACTTGAGCCCGCTGCTAAAATCATTGTGTCAATCCATCTTGCTGAGAGTCTTCCTCTCTTTCATTAACTCTCCATCTTTCCAAACATGAAGGAATAGGCTCTCCTAGCAAGAGACCCAAAGTATGAGAGACAAAGCTTTACCGTCTCAGCCTCCAAGGAGCACTCTGGCTGGACTTTTTACAAAACATATCTGTTCCTTTGGAATTCCGTGGGATATTCAGTACTCCTCTCTGAAATTACAACTCAAAGGCATCAATTATTCTTCTAACATCTTTATCAATTTTTCAGCTCTCAGATGCATACCAAGTGATTGAAAAAACCAGGCTCTGAGTCAGGCACATCTTTAGACAGGTATCATTATTCTTCAGTGTTTTGGAGAGATCCCAGTTAGCACACTTGCCCAATGCAATATGTCTCCTAATCTCTTGACTGTTGGGTACCAAGGGTGTTGATTATTGATCCAAGAAAAATAATCAAATTCTTCTCATGATCAGCAAACAAGGTTGTGTTGTCCACATAATTCAGGTTGTTGATGAGTATTCCTCTGATCTTCATATCACATTCTTTTTCATAAAGTCCAGGTACATGAGTTATTTGTTCAGCATACAGATTGAATAAATATGGGGTGAGGATACATCCCTGATGCCCACTCTTCCTGATTCTAAACTGTGCAGTCTTTCTTTGCTCCATTTGGATGACAATATTTTTAATCTAGGTGTGGGTTGTGTACAAGCACAATTATGTGCCCTGAGGTTCCCATTCTTCTCAATGTTAGTCATAGTTTGTTATGCTCCACGTCATTATTCACCTATTTCATTAACTTTTCCATTTTGGCAAGGATAATCTTTGATTTATTCTTATTCTTTACTTGCTCTACATATTTGTTTGTTTGCAAGTACCCTTTTGTTTCTCAAGCTCTTTGTTGAGTCCTCTTAGAATATTTCTTTTAAATTGAGAAAATATCATATTAACAAATTACACTTTTTGCAATTCCCGTGGTTTAATAATACGGAGTTGGGCTATCAGCCAAAAATTATATCGTTCAAATCCACCAGGTGCTTCTTGGAACAAAGATGGGCAGGCCCCACCTGTTTGATTTACAGCCTCTGAAAACCCACCCAGAGGAGAGTCAGCTGTGAGTTGTTTTCAACTCAGCATCACAAAATATCAGCAACACGGTTAAGAGCTGTGCTAACAGCACAAAGGCATGAGGTTCCAGTCTCCCAGCTTCTTCCTGAGAGAAAGTTGGACAGTCTGCTCCCATTTGATTTATAACCTCTGAAAAATATCTGGAGGGCCACCTATGAGTTAATTCTGACTTCATTGTGCATAACACCACCAGTGAATAAAGAGTTGCAATGATAACCCACCCGCAGTGTCACTGCTGTCCCAGGTTTTCACTGCAAATCCAACAGCTGCTCTTTGGGAGTAAAATGGGAAATCCCCCTCGAATTTATTTCCAGGCTCTGAAAATCCGCTGGAGGTTAAACTATGAGACGGTACTGACTTGGAGGCATGTAACAGCAACAACAACGATTAAAGAAGGTTGAAAGACAGGTTAAAATTAGATTTCTTTTTTCCCTCTTCCAACTGTGCTAGGTACTTAGAACCTCTTAGGTAGATGCACATGTATATCTTGCACATTTTTCAATTACATCTAAATCAATCTCCCTTTAAGCTGAGCCCTTCAGACTGTTGTTTCACTCCAAGATCAACATCAAAGCCAAAACTCTACTGTTTGTTCTATCTATCCACTGTAGACTCGAATAACTTTTAAAAGAATCATTCTGCTACTCTTCACCCCAGTGACCTGATCGGGCTGGAACACAGAAGGCAGCTGCTCTGGAGTACAAGGTTTACCATGTAGTTCTCAATTCTGTAAGACTCTGAATTCATCATTGTCCTCATCCCTTAGCACATATATCACATGCACCTTAGAGATCTCTCGTTATCAATCAGGTGGAGAAGAGCCCAATGCAGAGAGAAGTAAGCTTCTAGAACTGAGTGTAAGAACTCTAAAGCCAGTTTTGTGTTCCAAATATATTTTGTTCCTCAAACCAGTTATTTTTCTATTCAGCAGACAAAATTGGTTACCAAATTCCTTGTTAATTTTTAAGTTCTCAAATTTAAAAAGATTCAGGTTGGGGTTTGTTTGTTTGTTTGTTTTACATTTTTTTATTATTAATTTTAATAAACATTTACAGATGTTTTGGATTTCCATTCATTCATTGCCGCACTTTTCTCCCTGCCCACCCCTCCCCACCAGTTTGCTCCCCTCTCCAAAAAGAACAAGGGGGGAAAAAATTCCTTCATTAGTATACAATTCCCCCATCCCTTCATCCCCACCCCCACCCCGAGATGATTCAGGTTGTTAACAGCTTTACTTTGCTTCATTCCACAATCAACACTCTTGATACTAGCAGCCAGGAAATTAAAAAATGAATTGCATTGGGAAAGTCTGCTGTCAGAGACTTCTCCAAAGTACTGAAGAGCAACAGTTTCAGTCTGGAGACTAAGGTGCACCTGATACAGGACATGTTGTTGTTGTATACCATCAAGTCAGAACCAAACCATAGCTGACCCTTTGGTGGGTTTTCAGAGGCAGTTAATCACAAGGGAGTAGATTGCCCATCCTTCTCCTGCAGAGCATCTGGTAGTCTCAAACCATATGTCTTTGGTATTATAAGGAAGCTTCTTGCCACTAGCCCGACAGAGCTCACTTGCTGTGCATCAGGGAGCTAGACAATGAATACTGATGATAGAAGAATTGATGCCTTTGAGCTGTGGTGCTGGAGAAGAGTATTGGTTATACCATGGACTGCTAAGAGAACAAATAAGTTCATTCTAGAGAGGGTGAGACCAGGCTGCTTCTTGGAGGCAAGGATTCTGAAGCTTTGTCTGACATACTTTGGACATGTTACAAGGAAGAACTAGTCCTTGGAGAGGGATGTCATGCTTGGGAGGGTGGTGGAACAATGAAAGATAGACCCTCAATGAGATGGATTGATTCAGTGACTGGTGTAATGGGGATAGGTATATCAGAGACCATAAGATTAGCACATGATAGATCAGGGTTTAGGGCTGTTGCACATAGGGTCATTATGGGTCACAGGTGATTTGACAGCACATAACAACAACAGCAACAACAACATATGACACCCATGTTAAGTGCCATATTCTTCTGAAACTGCTTAGCAATTGTGGGGATTTTGGTCCTCCTTGTCATAGACAGAAATGATTGCAGGGGTTTTTTAATTTACAGGTAGAAGAAGCCCTAGGCTGGAGTTAAATGTTTAGTATAACTACTTCAAGAAATATTTTACCCCCATTTCTAATAATCATAAAATTAAATATTTCTGTGCTGCAAATCATATATCGGAAGAGATTCATACTTCTTAGTTCTACTACTGTCTCTGGATCTTTGAGGTTCTTGAGATGATGAAAGTAATGAAATTGCCAATAAGAAATACCAAGAATCAGATAATGCACAAACTGAAAGACTGAATTATGGATTGTCGCTGAGAAGACCAACAATACTATTCTAGTATCGTGATAATGCAAGACTTTTAATATTAGTCCCTGTAGACCAAAAGGGAATAAATGTTCTCTACATTGCTCCTTTAAGATTTCCTTGTAATATTTGGAAGTTTTTATTTCCATCTCTGCGACATTTGTTTAATATCTTTTAAGATCATTACTGGATATAGAAATGAAATTGCATAAATTCGTGGTGGGTAGGATGCACAAGACTCCTCACAGTGTAACTCTGAATGAGGTGGACTTGGTTTTTGTCATTGTCGTTCTTCCTTCCCTTCCCAGTGTCATTATCAATCAGCTCCATCTCAAGGTCACCTCACATGTAACAGAATAAAGCATTACTAAGTTCAGTGCTATTTTTATGATCTTGGGTATGCTTCAGTCAGTTCTGGCAGCTAGTGGATAAATCCATCTCATAGAAGCTTTCGATCATTTTTACTGACTTTAGTAAACATGTTTTTTCTAAAAATTGATCTTCCCTGGTGATGTGACCAAAGTAAATTTATTCAGTCTCTCTTTCTTTACTTCTAAGGAGTACTTGGCTTTCTTCTAAGACTAATTTTCTTTTTATTTTTTTTCTCTTTTTTGTCCTTTTGGTAGTCTACAGAATGGTCATTAGAGTTCACCAACATCATGGTTTCAAAAGTATTGGTTCTTCCTTTTTTCCATTACATTACATTCACATGCACTGAAAGCAACTGAAATCTTGCTTGGGACACAAGGACTATATCACCAAAGTGACGTATTTGCTTTGTAAAGCTCTGAGAGGTCTTTTGCAATAAATTGACTTTCCTCTGGAAGCCATGAAAAGGAGTTGAGAGTTAAACAGGTTTGGTTTTCAATAGAACAAATATATATATATATATTGTTTTATTGTTGTTGTTGTTGTTGCAGGCAATGAAAGCTTAGAAGAGAACTATGTCCAGGACAGTAAAATGGGATTTGTCATTAATGCCATCTACGCCATGGCACATGGACTCCAGAACATGCACCACGCCCTCTGTCTGGGCCACGTGGGCCTCTGTGATGCCATGAAGCCCATTGATGGCCGGAAGCTGCTGGACTTCCTCATCAAGTCCTCCTTCGTTGGTGTGTCTGGAGAAGAGGTGTGGTTTGATGAGAAAGGCGATGCTCCTGGAAGGTAAAGCAGTTTTGATTTGTTTGTATTAACAGCTGTGATTAAACTTGTGAAACTTCTAGACTCAACCAAGATACTGACCGTGGTTCTGTTTAGTTACATGGTGCAGCCAAAGACCTGAAAAACCAGGAAGATAACTCACTAAAGATCTTTCTAAAATGTAGAAATATCAACTAGTTGGCATCCACAAGCATGGATCTCACTGGTAAAAACCACTAACCTCCCATCCAGCTATCACTCTAGAACTTTCCTTAGAAATTCTGTCACCTCCTGCAAATCCAAGAACCTGGAAAGATTACACCTGCCAGCAATAGTCTGCTTGACTCTGCCAGCACCAGGCTGATAATATTTCAATTTATAAATCCCAGTGCTGCACTGGCTGGGAATTGTTTTAAATATTGTACCTTCTTCAAAATTGAATTTAGAAAGAGCAACAAATCTATTCATGTATTTCTTTTTTTCAGGCTAAGTTATGTTCTGGTTAGTGTGCCTCTTAGAACAGAAAGAGAAATAGTTTTATTTTGTGGATTGAGTCCCTATGATTTTTTAATGATATTTTTCTAGTCCTAATAATAATGACTTATTCACATCATGATAATTGTTGTTGTGTTATTGTTGCCTTTGAGTCGAGCACGACTCAGAGTGACGCTATGAACAAAAGGCCATCTACCGAGATGGATGTCTCAATAAGAAGGAGGACCATAACAGCAGGATACACTAAATTTCTTTCCCACGCTGACGCTTTTTTCCGTCTTTCCAATTTTGCCTTCAGAGTCTTCACATTTTCAAGTTCTTGTTCTAACTCCACTATATTGTATTCCACCGATGATGTGAGCCCTTTTCAATCTGTATGCAGAACAGATCATCTGAGACGCTGGGCTTGTTCGCTGTTCTATTAAACTTTGTCACTGCTACTCGGGTGAGATGGTATCTCATTGTGGTTTTGATCTGCATTTATCTTATTGCCAGTGATTTTGAGTATCTCTTCATGTGTCTGTTTGCCATCTGAATGTCTTCTTCCATGAAAAGTCTTTCCATATCTTTTGTCCCTTTTATCAGCATTTTTCTTGTGAAGGCCTTGTCGGGTTTTTGTTTCCTTGACACTGAAAACCATCTAGAAGGTTGTAGTCTTTGATCTTCTTCATTAAGTGCCTCAAGTCTTCTTCACTTGTGTAAATAGGGTTGCATAATCTGTTTAACACAGGTTGCTGATGAGTCTTCCTCCAATCTCATGCCACATTCTTTTTTAAAAAATAATTTTAATGAGCATTTACAGAGATTTTGGATTTCCATTCATTCATTGCTGCACTTCTCTCCCTGCCCACCCCTCCCCGACTCCCCAGTTCGCTCCTCTCTTTCAAAAGTAAAAGAAACACTCCTTCCCTGGTACACAATCCCCCCACATCCCTCCCACTGCCCCAAGTACATTCCACTATGCAACCTTAATTAAGACCCTACATTTGTCAAAGTTCATAGAGCTTCCGGAGGCATGTTGCTTAGGAAGTGGATGCCACCCCTGCTTCCAAACCTGTCATAGTATATTGCTGTTGTTATTGAGTTGCCTACTATGTATAATGACCCTATGTACAGCAGCTTTGAACTCTTCCCTGTCCTGAGCAAGTCTCACTAATTTTGACACACCAACCCCCATTGCCCCAGATACTGTATCAATCCATCTCATCTGGGGTCTTCCTCTCCTACACTGTCCATTCATCCTTCCAAGCATTTTCCTTCTCCAAGGGAAAATCTCTCCTGGCCATGTGCCCAAAGTAGAGTGGAGCTTCAAAATACTAGCCCCCGAAGAGATATTTGGTTTCACCTTCTCTGAAACTGACCGTTTTGTTTTCTTGGCAGTCCATGGTATGTTCAAGACTCTTCTCCAGCACCGCAACTCAAAGGCATCTATTCTTTTGTCCTCCTTAGTCGTGGTCCAACTCTCTGAAGCATAACAAGTAATTGAGAAGACCATGGCCTGGATTAGGCACACCTTTGTATCTAGACTAGCATTGTTGCTTTTCAGCATTCTGGAGAAGTCCATGACAATAGATTTTCCCAATGTAATTCATCTTTTGATTTCCTGACTGTTGGCAGTGAGAGTGTTGATTGTGGACCTGAGCAAGCTATAATTGCTAACAACCTCAATCTCTTCTCCATCTGTTGCGGTGCTGATAATTGGCCCAGTGGTGAGAGTCTTTGTCTTGATGTTGAACTTCACTCCATATTGAAGATTGCGGTCCTTGACCTTTACAGCAAGTGCTTCAGGTCCTTTTCAGTTTCTGTAAGCAAGGTTGCAAGTCATCTGCATATCGTAGGTTATTAATGAGTCTTCCTCCAATCTTGATGCCACAATCCACTTCATAAATCCCTGCCTTCTTGAAAAGATATGGGGACATGATGGTTTCACCCTCTCCAGGACAAATCTCTTGATGGTCCATGATATTCTCAATACTGTTCTCCAGCACCACAACTGAAAGGCATTGATTCTTCTTCTGTCATCTTCCATCTCTCTGATGCATAGCAAGTAATTGCAAAGACCACAACCTGGATCAGGTGCATCTTAGTCTCTAGACCAACATTCTTGCTCTTAAGCACTCTGGAGAGGTCCCCAGCTGCAGACTTCTCTCATGTAATTAATCTTCTAATTTCCTGACTGACAATTACAAAAGTGTTGACTGTGAAACTAAGTGAGCTGAAATTGTTGACACTCTCAAGCTGTTGTTCTCCATCTATCTTGGTGCTGCCAATTGGTCCAGGGGTGAGAATCTTTTTCTTTTTGATGTTAAGCTTCAATCCATATTGCAGATAGCAATCCTTAACCTTCTGCAGAAAACTCTTCAGATCTTCCTCGATTTCAGAAAGCAAGGTTGTGTTATCTGCATAATGCAGGTCGTTCATGTGTCTTCCTCCAATCCTATAGAATGCATCCCTAAGGCACTCCTTTCCTGATTTTTAACCATGCAGTGTTTCCTTGCTCTATCCTGACAACTGGTCCATGTATAGATTTTGCATGAGCATAAGCAGGTATTCTGGGATTCTTGTTATTCTCAATGTTAGCCACACTTTGTGTAGATATATAAATAAATTCCTGCTGAGTCTGAACTGATCGGTGGCTGAACCGTCAGAGGCTTTTTGGAGTTTTTAAACTGTTCACACAAAAGAAGATTCCCCATCATTCTCTTTAGAGCCACTGATGGGTTAGAACCACTAACTTTGGGTTAACATCACACTACTCCTTACAGACTAGAACCCCAGAGATATTTTAAAAACTCATCCCATCAAGGTGGAGTCAATTCCTAGCTGACGCTCCAGTGGGTTTTCAGAGACTGAGACTGAAAGAGAGGAGATTGTCTGTCTTTCTCCCACAGAGCACCTGGTAAACTTGAACTGTCTGCTTTGAGTTGTCAGTACAGCCCCTTAGTACTTAGCCATTAAATTGTCTCTCTGTTCTCTCTCTCCCCCTCTCTCTCTTCTCCCTCTTTCCCCTTTCCCCTCACCCGTCTCATCTCTCCTCTCTCCACACAGGCTTCTCTCTCTCTTCCCTCCTCCCCTCCCCCCTCCTCTCTTCTTCGTCCTCCCCTCCCCC